CTGGAATGTGAGAAAAAAACAAACAAAAAAAAACAAATAAAACACAAACAAAGGGAATTAAATACTTAAAGCCACAAAAATAGATCTCAAAATGGCAATGAGAAAAATACCTATTATACCTAAAACTATAAAATGGGTCAAAGAGAGTTCATTACCATTCACCTAGGTTGTATTACTGCAGTGGGCAAAAAAAAAACCAAAACAAAACTTTCCTAAGTTTTCAAAACATGCAGCTCTGATTTCATTATGGTGTCATATTATGTCTTGTCAACTTAATCGGACCCATATTTTGCACAGTGATCATGAAAAACACTGAAAACAAAGGAAATGCTTGTTAAATCTGGCTAACATTCTTTGTCCAAATATTACCCCAACAATGTGACTACCAAAGGAACATGACTTTTGTGAACAATAAAAAAGAAAAAAAAATTGATGGGTCTAGACTCTTGGAAAAGAAAGTTCAATAGTGAAAAGACTTGCATTTTTACATTGAAAAAATGTTTTAGTTCAATAATATGCCATTATCTTGAAGTTGCATTAGTAGCTATTGATTTCTTCTTCACATTTTCCATGTATATTGCCATAAACAATTCATACACCTCTGACCCTGGATGAACCCATACAAACAAACAGCTTCTAGGACAGCCAATCCAGACAATCTCTATAGTAGCCATTACTTTTCAGGAATGTTTGGCATTCACTTATTTATTTATAATATACAGTGGCCTAGATGGACAGCCTATCTGTCTGTCTGTCTGTCTGTCTGTCTATCTATCTATCTATCTATCTATCTATCTACCTACCTACCTACCTACCTACCTACCTACCTACCTATCTATCTATCTATCTATCTATCTATCTATCCATCATCATCTATCTATCTATCTATCTATCTGTCTGTCTGTCTGTCTGTCTGTCTGTCTGTCTGTCTGTCTGTCTGTCTGTCTGTCTGTCTATCTATCTATCTATCTATCTATCTATCTATCTATCTATCTATCTATCTATCTATCTATCTATCTATCTATCTATCTATCTATCTATCTATCTATCTATCTATCTATCTATCTATCTATCTATCTATCTATCTATCTATCTATCTATCTATCTATCTATCTATCTATCTATCTATCTATCTATCTATCTATCTATCTATCTATCTATCTATCTATCTATCTATCTATCTATCTATCTATCTATCTATCTATCTATCTATCTATCTATCTATCTATCCATCATCTATCTATCTAAAATACATGAAAGTATACTTTTGCTTTTTGTTGGGTTTTTGTTGGGTTTTTTTGTAATCTGCCATTTTCTCTCACAATATAGCAGTTGCATTATGATTTAGATGTTTTAGATGAGTCTTTAGCACTCTGGGAAACTTTATAATTCCGGGCACCTCCTCAAGCAGATATGGCCTGATTATATTACTTATTTAAACTGGAAGACAAACTTAGTACATGCTATAATGCTGAACAAGAACATGAAACATGATATATTCCTTGCAAATTCAATGGCAATTTGCAGATGATTGATGCAAAATTCTGAATTTATACTTTCCATCTTTAAACATACTTAACTGAGTTTCTTTTACAAACTGAATAACTAAAGTTTAACATTTTTTCAATTCCAAAAAAAGACTGACAAAACATATAAATCTTGTTCTCAATACTAAATTTTCAAAAAAGTTAGACCTGTTATATGCGGTAAATCACAAAATCACATTTACATATGCTGGTTGTTTTTATCAAATAGCACAAAGAAATTCTCCCATTTCAAGGATACCCTAGTTCTTTGTCTGGTTTGTTTATAGACTGGTGCTTGAAAATATAAATTAAAACACAGCTGAACAGCATCAGAAAATACATAATTCATTAGTGTCTAAACCTGAAACATCTGCTGCATCACACAGACTTGTGGCACACTTAATGTTCATTGTTATCAGCAGAATCCATTATCAACAAATGAAAACAGATTATGCAAATGCAAACATTTTCAACAGCTGTCATTTATTTTTTAGTAATATAAAACGTAGTAGTGGCATGCTAGAGAGCAACAAATTCTCATAGTTTACTCTATAACTGACAGATTTCAAATTTTAAACTGGCATAAAAATGCACAGAATTATGGACATGTAAATGTAGACACAATACTCCAGTCTGATAAAATGAAAAGAAAAAAGACCAAGGTCATTCTACAACAAGTCTGAGTTCCAAATGGAACAAATATCATGCCAATATATGCAAATCAAAATACACCACCTAAATTTCATTGATGTATTTCTGACATCTGCCCTTTTAAACTTAGGTAAGGTCTAAATTTATAGGAAAAATTAAGGAAAAATTAAACACTACCTCTGAAAATCTGTCTTCCCAGTCTCATATTACATGTAAATAAACTTAGCCATTTGTAGAACAGATAACTGAGGATCTATTTTCAAAGTTTTTGTTGTTGTTGTTGTTGTTGGGCTTTACGCCATTTTTCAGCACATGATAGGCTATTCATGGCGGCCAGTATTATTGGTGGAGGAAGAAACCGGGAAATCAGCGGAAAGAACCACCGACCTACGAGAAGCTACTAGCAAGCTTTCTCACATATCCACATTCGCCGCTATTTTCAAAGAATATTGTTGTTGTTGTTGTTGTGGGGCTTAACACCATTTTTCAGCACACTAAAGGCTAAACATGGCAGCCAGTATAAATAAATGGTGGAGGAAGAAACCAGAAACTCTGAGGAAAGAACCACCAACCCACCAGAAGCTATTGACAAATTTTCTCACATATCCACATTCCCTCGGAATCTTAGACTTAGAGGCTTTAGCCACTCAGGGCCCCTTCAAAGAATGAGATATGATAGGTTTATCCATAAAAGAATTGTAGTCAATGAGTGGTCATAGTGTCAGACTTGCCCTGAATCGATACTGGCTATAATCCTATCACTACAACAGCCTTTTAAATGGCTACTTTGATGTGTCCTTGGGCAAGGCAGTTTACTCAAATAGCCCATTTCATACTGGATTTAACCAGTTGCTCCCTAGTCACTTTATACTCCAGCCAATCAAACGCTGGTAGGCATCTGTACATAACAAAATGGCATTCATTGTTGTTTAGACGTATCACACTAAATGCCTGGAACTTCTGCAGCTTTACCATTGAAAAATATTCCAGGTTTGTTATACTGCTTATAAATACGAAAAATTCCTTTTATTGGTAAACGAAACTCGATTTATAAAATACGGTGTTATGGTAAAAAAATGGATTAAATTTTTAATATCGCCACTGTTTCCATACTTGCATGTACATGTCCAGATGTAAACAGCTCATAGCTACTCTCTCGTATGGCTATAAAATCTGCCCTGGTTTCCAAAAAATAAGCCAGGATGGTTCCAATATTAAATTTCGTCAATATCTGTGGCATCATCGATGTTGAATAGACATTTTTCAACTCAATAAACGAAGCTGAAGTAGTTGGAACAGTTGATGCTAATGCTGATGCATCTGCTTGTTTTGACCACTAGTCTGGTCTCCTGCTTAGTATGCTCCCTGCAATACACTCGCTAAGAATATTTGACCACCAGCTATCGATTGGATATTGCAGTCAGTTGACCACCCACCACTGATCAAAATTCGAGCAAATTACAAATTACGAAGTTCAAAAGTTCCCTGAAGTCTCCATGAAATGGTCTATTGACTCAGCTATAAATAACCTTTACTTTAAATCATAAACCAAACTATCCTCTTATATACATGTATATAGAAATAATCTGACACTACATCAACAGCTGCTCAAATTTTAACCCAGATATTCTGATAATAAAAATTTCACTGAATACATGTGTTTCCATGGAAACTTTCGTTTTACTCTTCCTTGCATTAGGCAGTTTTAAGACAACTGTATGGTCACAATCCAAGGTCAGTTTCAGTTTTATGGGATTCATTTTAGTGTAAAATTAACAATTGGGCCCCAAGAGAATATCAGTTATTTGAGCAGAGTGATTTGGTTTACAGAGTTGACATTTTTTAAAATATTTTGAATAGAAAAAATATTTGGTACCAGAAAAATGATGAGTTTCATTACTGTTCTATGAATTGGGATAAAAAACACAAACACCAATAATTTGATGCAACTAGTTTTGCATATAATGCATGCTTTTTCAGGCACAAAATGTTTTGAAATAAATAGATGATGTCTTTATAGGCTCAAATAACAATTACTTCATTATGTAACATCACAAAAAACAATGCATAATCTAAAAGATACATGAATCTCTAATGAAACAGTAAAATAATAAAATAATAACAATGTCTTATATAAAATTATATAATTTTCTTTTCAATTGTTAATTGTGTATATTTTATAACAATATAATTGTATGTATGACTGTTTGTCTCTATTTTATTTTACTAATATTGTTCTCAAAAACACACAAATGTATGCTCCCCCCCTTAATTGTCCTTAAAAACAAGGACCTGAAAATCTTGCACCATTGATTTACCTTGAGCACAATAGACCACATAATACTGATTAATAAGTTACAAAGTTCAATATGATCATGTAAGCACTTGACTTCGAAAATCAACTGCTATAATAAAGCACTTACTAAAAATGACTTTTGCAACTGAGCAATGAGGTGCTTTCATCTGCTATAATAAAGCACTTACTAAAAATGACTTTTGCAACTGAGCAATGAGGTGCTTTCATCGATTCTCTAGTCAGTAAGAGCTTTTCACCAACTGCATCTGGCAGGACTACAGTGACAGATATAGGTTTTTGGTGTAGTGTTTTATAATTATGAATATAGCTTTAACAAATTTTCAGTCATATCTACCAATGTCTGCATTGTGGCAGTTTATAGTGATGTCTAACACTGGGGCATCATGCCACAGACATGTAGCATGATGTCCCAGTCACATTATTCTGACACCAGGTTGACCAGTCCTAACACTAACCTCTTAATGCTGAGCATCAAGCGAGGCAGCTGTTAGTACCATTTTTGTCTTTGTTATGACTCGACCAAGGATCGAACCCACGACCTCCCGCATCCGAGGCAGATGCTCTAACCACTAGGCCACCAGAGCGATTATAGGGTTTTGGTATTCTCTGCTCATGTCTCTACTGTTAAATGCACTTCTACTATATAACACATAATATCATTGTCAAAATACGCAATGACTGCTGCTATGCCAATAATGAAGATAAAGAATTTGAAGATTTGTCCGTTAAAAAATCCCAATCCTTTGTTGAAATAAGGTGTCCATTCATATTTTAATAATCATATAAATGATACAAATTAAAAAATTTCAAATTTACCCATTACTAAAATGCCTGTGGGGGGAAAAAAAGTGAAAATCCAGGAAAAATCACTGTTTGATGGGATTTCTGTTAATGGTTTCAGTTTTGATAAGTATCATTGTAATTGTCATCTAAGGAGATTTATACACACAATTACTGGTTAACTTCTTTGAATGACATATGTAATGAAATTACAAATGATGACTAATGAGATATTCAAGCTTCTATTGTTGGAATAAAAAAAAAAGCCTTAAGACTCAAGTCATAATATGACATATATACCACAAATATATCCACAGTAATAGGATATTTTGGTGTGCAAGTCACAGGAAATGAAGCAATTTGTTTCTATTATATGTTTTCCTGTACACCCAAGGTCAACTATTATCTCACATTTTATTAGGTGAAAGTACCTCATTACACACAATTGTGTCACCATCAGCTAACTGCTGATGTGTTTATGAACAATAGGCAATGATGGTAACCATGGGAGATTTGTATAAATATCTATCACCTGGTGTGACATCATGGAAAACCTCAATCTTTTGAAACTATGTAGCAAATAATATCACAAAGTTTTACATAGAAATTGCTTTTTTTAAAATGGTTTTTGGATTAACCAAACCATTGATGGAAGTGATAATACTTTATAATAATTATGGATTCTTATTCACTTTCAAGATTTTTTGTTTTCCCCAACAAAACAATATCAATACAAATATTTTGTCTGCAGTAAAGATATTTTAGCTTCAATGATGACTAATCCCTTTAAGTTAATTTTGACAAAGAACATAACATTTCAAGTATGATGAATCATCTACAGCGAGAGTGGATGCAGAATGTGGCATAAACTGGCATCCAAATGAGATGGAATTGTGTGTGTGTTTGTATATATATGTATGTATGTATATATATGTATGTACATATATGTATGTATGTACATTATATATATATATATATATATATATATATATATATATATATATATATATATATATATATATATATATATATATATATATGAAACTGAATTATTAGATATTTAATTATTATGCCTTCAACTGCAATTTCAGTACTACACTACTTCTAACTTGACTGCCAATATATGGGCGATTCATTTTGATTGTAATCTCCGTGGAAAATTTTTAAAAATTTTCAATATTATCAACAACAGCATAATGGATCTCTTTCAAATGATCAATGACAGAAGAAACTGTTATCAAGATAAAATATTTTTCTAATGAATGACTCCAGATAGTTCCACTATATTTCAATCAATGTTATATTATTCATATATATAATGCATACAGAACTGCTTCCTTGCCAGTTGTAAAATATAACAGATACCTACATAGACTCCATTGTAAAAATGATTAATACTTATTTGTCAGGTACATTTAATGACCAATGCCTTTAGGTGACAATGTGTGACTTTCAAAGGCAAAATGCCAATTACCTAGACCTCTATTATTACAAGCCAATAATATAAATCATATAAAAATGTATTATATAATAGACAATTTCAGAACTACTTCCCTTGGGCAATAGTCATATGACCTCTTAGCCTTTCTGGAACAGTAATGATAAATCCATACTAGCATTACAATATCAAGGAATTACCAGTTTCCATTTCTTCTCAGATCAATTATAATACCAAGTAATGTATTAAATCTAAGCTTGAGATTGCCAACAGCATTATCAATAGATATCAGATATGTTTATGTATTCCTCCCAAAAAATATTTAACTCATTTATCAAATGAAATTGTGTTGTTTTTTTTAAAAAAGAAAGATTACAAGTAATTTTGTTATTAAAAGCTGCCCTTACATACTGTAGTCATTTTAATATATGCTCCTGGGTGTGCAATTTTCAAGAGGTAGATGGGTGAGTGATTCTGAATACAGTACATCACTGTTTGACTGAGAATGTTCATAAATTGTTGTAATATTTCTAACAGTTGTTAACCATGTGTTGTTTTAATTATCTGAAAATGTCATAATATATATATATCTTTAAGCCTTGATGAAGAAGGAATTTCCTTTTTAATGAAAAAGAGGGGTATTTGAAGTGGTTTTTTTATCAGAACAACTATGGTATTTGCATACTCTGTAATAGGTTCAGAAGTAGGTAGGAGTGAAGAAGGCTGGATGTGAATATGCAAATTTCCAGTAGAGAATAATATCTATAAAATGCAGTCCTAAAATATATGGAGTAAGCAAACCCATTAATTTAATGCAAGTCTTTTTTATTCCTGTCATTTCATCATAGACTGAGGTAGCAAAATATATGTGTTCTTAACTGGCTGCTGCATTAGACAAATACACAACAAAAGGTACTGAAAAAGATAAAATTAGTTATTACTAAACTGATCAGAAATCTATGATGCCATCATTTGCACAGAAAATAAACAAGAGCCCCTTCGAAGGGATCTATGCTCTATTGGATAAAATGTTCTAAGTTTTGTTATTTAAAATAATTCACTAACAGTATACACTACATCCTTACTAGCCTTAATATCAATGTTACTAGGCAGCCAACAGTACACACTACATACTTTACTAGCCTTAATACCAATGTTACTAGACAGACAACAGTACACACTACATACTTTACTAGCCTTAATATCAATGTTACTAGGCAGCCAACAGTACACACTACATACTTTACTAGCCTTAATATCAATGTGACTAGGCAGCCAACAGTACACGCTACATACTTTACTAGCCTTAATACCAATGTTACTAGACAGCCAACAGTACACACTACATACTTTACTAGCCTTAATACCAATGTTACTAGGCAGCCAACAATACACACTACATACTTTACTAGCCTTAATATCAATGTGACTAGGCAGCCAACAGTACACACTACATACTTTACTAGCCTTAATATCAATGTTACTAGGCAGCCAACAGTACACACTACATACTTTACTAGCCTTAATATCAATGTTACTAGGCAGCCAACAGTACACACTACATACTTTACTAGCCTTAATATCAATGTTACTAGGCAGCCAACAGTACACACTACATACTTTACTAGCCTTAATACCAATGTTACTAGGCAGCCAACAGTACACACTACATACTTTACTAGCCTTAATACCAATGTGACTAGGCAGCCAATAGTACACACTACATACTTTACTAGCCTTAATACCAATGTGACTAGGCAGCCAACAGAACACACTACATACTTTACTAGCCCTAATACCAATGTGATTAGGCAGTTTACCGTACCTACACCAATGTGACTAGGCAGACAACAAACAATACATACTTTACTAGAATTAATACCAATGTGACCAGGCAGCCAACAGTACACAGTACATACTTTACTAGAACTAATACCAAGGTGACTGGGGTCTGAGTGGCCAAGTGGTCTCCTTATGCATCACTGCCATCTCACCTCTGACTGCATGGGTTGAGATAATGTGGACATGTGAGAAAGCTTGCTAGCAGCTTCTCATGGGTGGTTCTTTCAGGGGATTTCCTCCACCATTAATACTGGCGGCCATGTATAGCCTATTGTGTGCTGAAAAATGGCATTAAGCCCCACAACAACAACAACCAATGTGACTAGGCAGCTACCAGTACACACCACATATTATCCCCAATGCCAATGTGAATAGGCAGCCAAAAGTACACAATACATACTTTACTATACCAATACCAATTTGACCAGGCAGCCAACAGTACACAATACATACTTTATTACATTTTATCCACAAAAATTTTGGTGTATTAATGACTTGTCATATACACAATTTTGCATGCTTGTAAGTGTAAAAAGGAAATCTGAAAAGCTTACACCATTTTTGGGAAAGGATTCAATGTAGTAAAAAGATTGAGTACAACAACTCCCATGAAAATGATGGTTTTATTAACTAAACAACCATATGATGCAACCCAGTGTCCAACCATAGGTATGTGAGAAAGGCATGGTCATGGTAAATGACTTATTTCATCAAATTTTCTCTTTTAAAATTCAATACACTTGGTGAGGGCTTTTGAATTTGCAAAGATCAGATATTAGTTTGGGAGGTTTGAATAACCATAGTGAGAAATTTATTATTGAGTTTTGTAGCATGAGCAAATTGAATTTTTGCTGTTCTTTTATGTTAGCAAAATGTGTTATCAACATGACTTATCAAACTAATTTAGTCAAACAATAAACTAAGACTGGTGTTGTGAAATGATGACTTTGCTATCACACCAAATCTATATTATCAAATCATGTGTGTATGTTGTCAAAGACTGTTTTTCAAATCATGACTATGTTATCAAAATGAATAGCTTAATATTGTGAATCACTAAAAGAATAAACAAAATTTAAAGCAAATTTTTAGCAAGAACTGATTTTTGCAAATATTTTATCTGCATTAAATTCTGCACTGAAAATATCATAATGTATACAATACAAAACTATTCACACAGACAGTTCCAGTTAGATACGAGGGAAGACCGTTTAAACATAGTTGCACCAACAGATTTTTGCAGCAAGTATTGCAATTTATGTTAATTTTAAAGTTTATTTGAACATCCTTTACTGTCAATAGTTATTCATGTTATTTGCAATTTGATAACTGGTCTGAGCTGTATAAATCAATTACAGTTGGGGCACAAAGTGGTCTAAAGACTAAAGTGCTCTCCTTTATGGATCAATGCCATCTCACCTCTGTGTGGGTTAGAATCTTGAATTTAGCTAGTCTGGGTATGTGAGAAAGCTTGCCAGTAGCTTCTCATGGGTTGGTGGTTCTTTCAGGGGGGGGGGCCTCCAACATTAATATTGGCCACCATGTATAGACTATTTTGTGCTGAGAAATGGCATTAAACCTCACAAAAACAACATCAATTAAATTATTCTAATTTCTGATAGATAGGATATGACCATCATGACTAAAATGACCTAATGCTGCAATGCATGTTTGTTAAGTCTTAAATCAAAGATTCTTGGAGAGTTACATAACATTTTTTTATTGTGCAAGGACAAAAGAAAAATACAAACTTAATTAAACACTGTGACTTACAGTATATTTTTATAATTAAACACTGTGGCTTCCAGTATATTTTTAACTGTATTAGGACATGGCATAAATACAACCTTAATTATACAAATGATTTACAGTACCTTACCAGTGTTAGAACAAATACAGAATTAAATAAACACTGAATTACAGTTTTATTGTGTTAGGATGGATAACTAAGACTGGACATGTGATAAATTCTGACTTAAATAAACACTGAGATTTACAGTACATTTTTAACTGCAAAAAGAAATGGGGTAAATAGTCATTTGAACACAATGATTTAGTGGGGGGGGGTGCCTGAACAATCTTATTCATAACATTGTTCTAATTGATGAGTTTGTCAATCATTGGTATTTAATGAAATAATCAATTAATCAATTAGGAAATCAACAGACCACTCTGGTGGCCTAGTGGTTAGAGCATCCACCTTACATCTGGATGTGGGAGATCATGGGTTCAATCCCTGGCTGAGTCATACCAAAGACTTACAAAAATGGTACAAACAGTTGCCTTGCATGGTGCTCAGCATTAAGAGGTTAGTGTTAGGACTGGTTGGCCTGGTATCAGGATAATGTGACTGAGTGGGATATCATGCTACACGTCTGTGGCATGATGCCCCAGTGCTAGACTTCACTATAAACTGCCAAAATGCAGACATGTAGCAATATGACTGAAAAAAATGTTAAAGCTACATCAAAAATCCAAATCACAAATCAACTGTTCATTAATCTGTGTAAACTAGGATCATTAAATTAACCCCATTCCCAATATTGACCACCAATAATCCTACTTGATGTCATCTATAAATAAATAATAAATAATAAAATGTGACAATGAATACAATGCAATGTTTGAAGAGTATTTCAAAATTAACACCATTTATCTGATGTGCTAATGAATTGTGTCAATTTTAATGGACTGTTCCTCAGTCTGTGCCTTAGATGCACCATTACATGAATAATACTGCAGTAGCAAACATTTTGAGTACAGATGTTGAAGCATCTGGTTTGGCACAAGCTCATGCCTGGTTCTGAAACAGGATACTGTGATGCAGTCACAAGCCCAGTAATTGCATTTGGAATCAATACAGTGAAAGTCAAATAATAAACAGTACCACTTCTACAGCTGGTCATGTATTTAGATGTTCTATTGCTGCATCTAGTTGTTTACAATGAACTTGCCTGTTATAAGTAGCAAAATATGCCCAGTTTAATATGTACTTCAGTAAATTGGTCCATGACCATGTGAGTGCTTAAGATATAGTCAAGCCTTCTGAGAAAAAAGTTTAGGTAATTTAACAGTCTCTTTATGGAAAACAAATAAAGGCAATCTCTAGACATTTTCAAAAAAAACTGGATAAAGGAAAAATAATTCATGGATTTGTGTGTGTGCTGTCTTAATATCAAACAGCTGATGGCAAAGCAAAATCTTCCCTCCAAATCAATGTACAATAAAACAATGTTGACTGAAAATCCAGATCTGGGGATAGTAATCACACTAAATTTCAAACTTTCTCAGAAAGAAAAGATAAAATAAATGATTACATCCTTGAATGATAATTTGCCGACATTTTTTTCATCAATAACAGATTAATTTTTATAGCCATCATTGATTTTATTACAACAGAAGTGAATGTTTTACAAAGTAAACATCTGTGACACCATATATTATAGTAGACACAGCAAACAGATAGGTGAGCATGTAAAATATATTACATAATCTCTCTTAAATCTACAGGTACTCTTAATTGGAAATGGCAACAAGGTCCAACTATCTAGAGAAGACAGATTAACAATTGACAAAAATTTAGGAATTAATATAACTGGGAATTCAGCATGATCTTTCCTTTGGACATGGGTCCAGAACCAGTTTCTGCAAAGGGAAGCAATAAAAAAGACCAAATAATTACAGTATAAGAGATGACTATACTTTTTTTGGTGCAGCATTTCAGTTTAGATATTGAGTTTATGGACTCTTAAAATTGTATTATACATGTATATCAAAATATTCTCATAACTGTTACAGCAGGTGACAATTCAGATTTTTACCAACTAATCCCGCAAGGAGGATGAAGGAAATATGATCTCAAATTACATTTATAATTCTATTTTCTTTTTCTATGTAAAACTTGGACTACTTATAAGAAGTTCCAGTAGACAAACAATTCTGTACTTACCTGTTATTTACATGAAATTAGGGTACTAGAGACTAGAGTCAAAAATGAAATATTTTTTGTTATAATTTTTGGATTATTGACTGCATGTTTGACTGAATTACTGCCAGTTTTGTTTACACACACACACACACACACATACACACATATTTAACATTACATATATTACAAAACTGCATGTTTTTTTTGGTGAGATTGTTGTTGTTTCATAAATGTATTTAGCAAACTTCCAGGGGGCCATAGCCCTCTCATCTAAAACTATCATTGTTATCTGTTTATCATGGTAAAACATAATATGAAATGTGCCACACAGTGCACACAAAGAAAATCTACTAATACACCTATCTGTCAAAGTGCACCTACAATGTGTTTATTTCTGATCCACAGTTGGCCCAGTAATAATTATCAGTTACCAATGCTGATGACCTTAATTGATCTTAAACATATATATATATATATATATATATATATATATATATATATATATATATATATATATATATATATATATATATATATATATATATATAAAACAAATCATATGGGAATAACAACCCTTTCAAGCTACTGGATCCACCAAGGGATCAGTGTGTCAGGGATTAATTAAAATAGATCCAATAAACTGACCACGAACAGTACTGTTGGTACTGTTGTACAAAACTAGTAACTAACTAGCCTAAGTGCTTTGGACTCCTAATGAGTCTTTTTCAAAAGCAAATACAAAACATATATACCATAAACAAATAAACAAATAAACACAAAAACAGTTGTATTTGTAAACCTCTACATGGCTGTCTTCTCATGTGCTAAAACTATAAATACAACCAGCTTGTATAGACTAGTCTGGTTGTATTTAGTTTTAGCACATGTGAAGACAGCCATGTAGAGGTTTACAAACACAACATTTTTGTGTTTATTTGTTTATTCTTTAAAATGTGAGCTTATGGTGTGGTTGTCTGTGTGTATTTCAGCAACAGTAATAAGGTCATGGTGATGATCCAGAAGTGAAATCAGTGTGTTCATTGCCTGGTGTTTTGTTTACAATTCAGCCTCTTAAAAAAATGCAGGTCAACCCTTGACAAGAACTAAACCGTAAAGTCATCTTTGAAGGTATTTTAGATTAACATATGATTTGTATTGATTGTCACACAGTGTATAGTGTGTACTGAGAAACAAATGTAGAGAAAATATGAAATTAATTGTGTACTATGGCCAGAAGAAAAGAAACATGATCTGCTGATGTCCTCTCTGCTCTCAGCATTTGAGTGCTAATGCTGACTCCTCTTGGGTCAATGTGTGTGTATGTGTGTGTGTGCACACATGTGTGATTTGCATTTTTAACATAGCTATAATGTCTCAGTGTGGCAGTTTACAGTGGTGTCTAGCACTGCAGACATGACATGATGTCCCTTCAGGTCATATTATCCTGACACACTGCCAACCAGTCCTAACACTAACCTCTAGATGCTTAGTGCCTAGTAAGGCATTGATTTGTACCATTTTTATAAATCTTTAGTATGACTCAGCCAGGGCTTGATCCTATGACCTCCTGCATCCAAGGTGGCTGCTCTAACCTCTAGGCCACTTGGGTCAATGATTCTAATGGCAGAAAAAAATCAAGCTAAGACAATATGCATCAACTTGGTTGTGTTGTTTGGGTTATAAATAATAAATTTACCCAATAATACACCCACTTAATGGTTTTCATAACCCTGTAATTCATTTTCCTCAAGAATACAGGACAAGTAATGATATCATCTGACCCAGGGTCATAGGTCATTTTTATCTAATTCATTTGCACAATTCATTTAAATGATCTACTCTAATGGATGCTAAAATAAATATTTAACACCATTTATAGAAAGTACATAAGAATCTTCAAAAGTGATTTTGCTGAATCTACTACAATTTCTACATAAAATGGATTAGATTCAGATGAATGGTTTTCAATTGTAAAAGAATTCTTGCAGTACTACACAACTAATTGATTTGTCACACTGGCCTCAATAAATAATCTTCAACCAAAACAGTTTACATTATTTGGTGACCAAACTATGCTCATTCATTGCATTCAAAAGCTTTTAATGATTTTTCACATGCAATCTATTTGACATCTGAATTGAACTCTCAAGTTAAAACTATAGAGGATGAAATACACTCCTAAAGAATTATACTTGATATAGAAGTTGAGTCAGTTGAGCAGAATCTACATTTATTCTAACCTGCAAGTAATCATTCATTTGTGCAAATTTTATTATAATGCCAACTACTAAATCTTTTCTTTCTACAAATTCTTTGAATAGCATAGTTAGTAATTTAGTGTTTTATCATTGTTAGTATTATCATCTCAATACACTACATGGATTTTCCATCAACTCCACAATGACACAAACTGCCTTCCTTTTAAATACAGTCTATTATCACCAGTTATGTCCAACTGCAAACAATTTAGTCCCTTCTCTGCCATCAACCGCTCTGGTGGCCTAGTGGTTAGAGCGTCTGCCTCGGATGCGGGAGGTCATGGGTTCGATTCCCAGTTGAGTCATACCAAAGACTTATTGGTACTAACAGCTGCCTGGCTTGATGCTCAGCATTAGGAGATTAGTGTTATGTGCTAGGATAATGTGACTGGGTGAGACATCATGCTTACATGTCTGTGGCATGATGCCCCATCACTATAAACTGCCATACAGCAGACATCATAGCATATGACTGAAAAATTGTCAAAGCTACACTAAAAATTGTGATCACATCACATCTATGCCATCAAATATTGCACCATCAGATTGGGGTTGTTTGCTGTATTGATTACTCCAATCAAACTGCATAGGCCTATATCTGCTGGCACATCATGTAATAGCAGATCTGGGTCTGTGCAATTTGCAGCTAGAGTTGATTTGTAAACATGTCAAGGCAGTACTTCAACTGTTTCATTAGACAGACACTTGTCTTGCAATATATATATGGAGTTTCTTAATGTGTTAAATATGTTTAGTAGATGATATTCAAGATGAAAAGAAAGTATATGTTGCAATTTTGCATTGTTAATCTTTGTTTTGACCTGAAGATATGCCTTCCAGTAACAAAAGAAATGTTACAACTATCCCTGTGTCAGACACCATACATCCTTGTCATCCACAGCACACTTCAGATGACATTCACTTGCCTTATAATGACATAATGCCAAATGTCCATTCAGCCCAAAATGAAATATTTCAAAACCAGTCACTTCAGCCATTTATAACCAGTGATGAGTGAAGACAAAGGGCAATTTTAACCCAGCTAGGCTTCCTTGGATACGG